TTCTTGGGCTCGTGTACTTGGTCCTGTTTCAGGGGTTGATTCGGACAGATCTGGTAATGGGGTGATCGCTACTGATAGTAGTGAACTCTTCGGTGTGTTCTGACTACTGGATGTTATCCGTCTAGTAGTTCCTATCCTTCCTGTCTGTGGGGCTTTGAAGATTGGTTTCTGTTGGCTGAATACCCTGGTGATGGCTCTTTCTTGTGCTTCGACGCAGGCCTTGTATTTATCGTCTGTTCCTGCTGGAAGGGTTTGCGAGTTCCAGTATCTAGTGGGGCACCTTGCTGACGTGCAGTTGCCCCACACTCTGTCGTTGTGATGTGCGTCTCTTCCTGTGTCGGTATTGAATGCGTGAATTCTATTCTTGCAAGCCGTGTCTGGTTCAGTCATGGAAGTAGTCTTGAATAACTCCTAGTGCAGTTCGGAACTCTTGAAGTTCCTGAAGCCTTCCTAGGTATTCCGGGTGAACGAGGTTGTTGGATAGGTCAAAGACAAAGTTTTCAAGGTCTTTGATGTCGTACTCGAGTCTTTCCGTCAGGACGTGAATGGGAGCGGCGGGGTTCAGAGGAAGTTGGATGTGGTTCGGCACGTTCTGCGGCGCTTCTGGTACTTGTGGGAGTATGTTGATGATGTTCTCGAGATCGCGAAGATGACCACCAAAGTCCAGGAAATCTTCTTCGTTGAACCTTGCGAGTAGAAGTGGGTGGTCCGCGAGTATCTCAAAGTTTTGTACTCCTTGTTGCACCGCTCGAGAGAACGTGTGGAGGTATGTGTCCAAGCTTCCGCTGTTCAATGTGGCAACGAGCGTTTCTTCGTGTTCCTCGTCAATGGGTAGGGTATGGCCGCTGCCCTCCTGTTCTGGTCCTTGCAGCTGCGCTGCGTGTCTCTCCTCTGGGGTTGGTGTGAGGATAATGGGGAGTAGGGGTACTCGAGGGGTATCCTGTTGAGCCTGGATGTTCTGTGTGGAGTCCGTGGTGACTGTTCTTTTATTGTGTTCTGCTATCGAGCAGTTCGCAACCTTCTGTCCTGGTAGATGGGTCCTCTGCACTTGAATAAGTGGAGAGTTCAATCTTTCGACCTAATATTACGTCGAAGTCCGAGGTCCGTCGGGAACGAGGCCTAGACACCGAGTGGTTATGTCTGTGAGAAGTCTCTTGATGCCGACGCGAGTGAGCACAGTGCACTATCAAGTGGACTGGCGAGCGAGCGAGGTAGAAGGCAAGCAAGAGAGTAGATTGGCACTAGGCCAGAGGACGTAGCTATACAGGAGGTCGAAAGATGGGGAGCGCTATGCTGCTTCGTCCCTCTTATAAGTACAAAGGCCTTGAGGCCACGGTGCGCGAGGGGTGAGGTCACAAGGTGTATACAGCAAGTCCATACGAGTCAGTACGAGTCATGGTAACGGTGTGTGAGGGGGTGTCGTGCCGTGAGGTTACCATGAGGCACGTGCATGTCCGAAACAAGGCTGCACAGCAGCATGAGGCAAGGATAGGGGTGGTGTTACAGTAGCCCCTGAGGGCGCGAGGCATAGTCCAGAACGGAGATGACGAGGGGAAAGGAAAAGGGTGGGCGTACGCATGGTGTTCATAACAATCTGTCATACTTGCAAGGCTATGCGAACCTGTGCGATTATGTGCTGCCTTTCTTTCCAGTACATTCTATTGTGCAGTGCCTCGTCCTGTGCTTCCTGAGCACACTATCTGATCTGCTCACCAGAGACTTGGTCATGTGGTTACTTAGTCTCTTGTATAGGTCAGTACCAGTCAGGTGAATGGTTTGGTAATTTATTCCAGAATTGTGCAGAGGTGTTAAGATCAACCTGAGATCTCCCCTCTTATTCTGTCACCCGATTTTCTACCTTTGACTGCTTTCTGCCTGGTGTCTGTGATAGTGACGATAATGTCGGTCACAGATAAGTCCAGATAGAGTCTCCAGTCAATAAGCCATAGAATGGGATTTTACATGAAAGGCAAAAAGATACCACAGGTACATGTGTTCGCGAGATCCTAACTGGGCGGTAGGTCTGGTTCTTCCTCCCCTTTCTATATCTGAATCTCCGCGTTTTCCAGAAGCTTGTCTACCACTGTCAGTCCCTTGACCGTCTGATAGATCTCCTGAAAGGCATCCAACAACTCCTCACGACAGTTATTAGCATCAACTGCAACTCCTGTGTGTTTTGTAAGTAATGGTAGGTAATTAGACATCGCAAACCTGCTTGCAAGTGGCTTTTCATGGTCTGGGACTCGTGGTATCTGCCATTGAAGTAAACAGTGGAGTCCGTAAATCCATGTAGCTGACTTGTCTTCTCCTTCGTAAGCATCATAAGGTACCGAAAGAGCGACCAAGGTGAACGTGTGAAGGTGCTGTACTCGAAGAATAATCTGTGGCCTGATGCTGACCCACACTGGTGATCCGGCCTAGGAACCACTGTTGGTGGTTGATTGTGAACCAACAGACACTTCCAGGGGCTGGTATGAGCATCTTCCCTGTGTTCAGGGTGGTTTCCAGTCAAGTTTCTGCATTGTAATGTAGATATGGTGAGCTGCTGTGCGCGCTCACCACCACCAAGCGGATGTAGCTGCCTTGTTGGATTGTCTTCAACAGAGCTCTTCGCATGTGGGGTGTGAACTCTGTTGCCATGGATGTTGGGCAGTGGGTGGTTGTAGCTGGAGACATAGCGGACTATAGTGGTGGAGGTATCTTTGCCTGAAGTGGTGGTGTTGTTTGTCAAAGGCACTTAAACTGCCCTTCCTGGATTGATCCGCTGGTCTCTTACCAAGCCTTTATTTGATCGACTTTTTACCCTATCCATGCACAAACCAATTTGGTGCATAACAGCGCAGGCTTGGCGTATCAGTACAAGAGCTCATCTCTCATACCACACCCTTTATCGCGCATGATATGGATGCACCCCCATTGCCGTCAAGCTCATCATCAGTAGTACCCGACTGTCCTTCCTGGCTACTGCAAGGTCCAGAAGCAGCCTTTCTGCAATCACATATAATCAAAACCTGGGTATCACTCACCTATGGGAGAGGGTTCATGGTCATGTCCTCAACAATGAAGAGCACAGACTCCAGCCCTCAAAGTGCCTGAAGATGTCCAATGACATTAGCGTCAGGACTGTATGGTCTGAGCTGTTCCAGGCCCAGCGCAAAGAAGCCCGTAAGATGGTGTACAAGACGCAGTAGATGAGCTGTACCTGAGTTGTGGAGTAGGCAGCGTTGACAATGGCACACATGTAGAATTTGGTGTAGAACTACATGACTTCTTTAAGTGCCTGCTTAGCAGAGTGAGTTTGGCCCTCCCACTAAGGTGTTCTCTAAGGTCAAATTAGAGTGTCTCCCTGAGTCAAAACCTTATGACCATGTGATTGACCTTAAGCCTGATGCCCCTGAGTCAATCCACTCCAAGGTTTTCACTATGCCTCTAAACAAGCAGAAGGAGCTTGATCAGTTCCTGGAGGACAACATGCACAAGGAATACATTGTACCTTCTAAGTCCCCTATGGTGTCTCTAGTCTTCTTTGTCAAGAAGAAGGACAGGAAGCTCCAATTAGTACAGGACTACTGGAAGCTGAATGATGTCACCATCAAGAACTGCTATTCACTCATATGCCTCTTATGAGGGTGAGGTTTAGGTGCATAGTGAAGCAACTGAAGGTTCTCATCATCATAATTCAGGAGTTGAGCATCGATTTTCCGAGCAGGGCCATCAGGCACATCATCAGCAATAGAAAAATGTGTGATGAAACTGGGAGTGTATGATGATCCACAGAGTGGATATCTAGACATTGATTTCTCCTCTTTGCTTCTCCTCTAAGAATGTCACCCTGGAGAGACTAAATCTACTGGGCCAGAGCTTGTTGTTGGTGGTGAATAGAAGCCAGGTGACACTGCTAATGAGTCCCCTGACACGGTTGTAGACAATTATGGAGTGAGGCATAAATGGGTGCACTATAAGCTGTCTCCAATGCTTTAGATAAAGGCAGTGCTTGTACCCCTCACTCCCATAAACCATATTGTTGTCTTTGCTTGGGAAGAGCCTGTGGATAACCTTTGTTCAATTGCTATGGCTATACCTCAGATGAGTCTGGGAGAAAGGCAACACAGTGCCCCAAAAGAGCCCTAGAGTGACCGAGTCACAGTTGTCAATGGACAAAGGTGTACAAGGGAAGGTGTCTGCTTCAACAGCTGGGCGAGGTGTTCATGAGGTCAGGGGTGAATTGCACCAACATACAGGCAACAATTGTGTCCACATCTATGTTGCCATTACAATTAATGAGGTACGAATGAATCGTTCTTTATGGGGTGGGCTCTGGCTACGACACGCGACACCCTCAAAATGCTAGTCGTGGGAGTATTTTTCGGATTCCGCTTACCTCTGATTAGCACAGCCACTTGCCACACATAGGATTTTTACTTACTGCCATCACCCTACTCCGGGGTTAGGGTTGCTCTCTAGGGTTCCAATAGCCGCTGGGTTTGCACTGCCACCTCTGGCCTATGCAGTTCTGGTCTGTATGCTCTAAGGCCGATGTTATTGCCTACTATTAATAGTACCTATGCTGTATAGTAGTTCTAGTTACCTGCTAGTACTATTACCTATGTGTAGTTGCCTACTAGTGTTATTATCTATGCTCTATAGTACTACTATTGCCTCCAGACTGGAGTTGCTTACTATGTCAATGTCTTGGATGCTGGACTAAGATAGGCACTCTATAGTACTTATTGTCACCTGCTATTACCTTTGCTACTCTGGCCTTGCCTACTGACCTATTCTAAGTTGCTACAGTGTTTAAAGTCACTACTCCAGTCTTACATATTGTCCTGTTTGAAGTTACTAGTGTTGCATGTTGAAAGCTACTAATTTAGCCTTAGTTGCCAGTCTATTAAAAGGTACAAGTGCAGCTTTATTTGGTAGAAGTGGGCTATTACTGGCCTTACTCACTGCCCTATTCAAACTTACTAATCCAGCCTTACTACTCGAGGTAGGATCTACTAGCCAGACTGATCCACCCTACCCTAAAGTATACATATGACTAGCAACTATTGAACACTTGAGAGGTATTTAGATGCTTACCATGCTATTTGGACTGACTATTATATGAGAAGTTACTAGTCCAGATTGTTGAAGCTCAGTAGTCCAGTAATACTTGCACCCATGTTTATCGCTTTACTAGAGCAGTCATTACTTAATAGTGGTTATTGTTACATACTGCTGCCGCAGTCTATGGCTATAGTTGCCCACCTAGACAGTACTTACCACATTGTTCAAAGTTACTAATCAGGTCTTACTTACTTTCTTACTAGTGTTACTGGTCTGGCTTTACTTACTGCCCTTCAAACTTACTAGTCCAGGCTTACTTGATACTGTGTTTGAAGCTATTACCACCCCGTTCAAAGTTACCAGTCCTACCTTACTTACCACATTCTTGAGAGGCACTAGTCCGGGTTTTCACTTACTAGTCTATTCAAAGTCCCTAGTCCGGAGTTTTGCTTATCATCTTATTGCAAGTTACTAGTCCAGCCTTACTTACAGGTCAGTCCACAGTTCTAGTCTGGGCTTACTTACTACACTGTTCAAAGTCACTATGCTTACTGTATTGTTCAAAGTTGCTAGTCCGGGTTTTTACTTACCACCTTATTCAAAGTCACTAGCATGGCTTTACTTACCATTCTTCAAACATACTCATTGAGGCTTACTTGCTACCCAATTCATAGCAACTAATCCAGGCTTACTGACTGCCATTCAATGTTGTGTTCAAACTTACTGGTCTAGGCATTCTTCAAAGTCTCACTAGTTTGGAGTTTTACTTACCACCTTATTCCTACCAGTCTAGCATTACTTACTGGTCAGTTCACGGCTCTAGTCTGGGCTTACTTACTAAGCTGTTCAACATTACTAGTGCACCCTTACTTACCACATTGTTCAAAGTCTACTCCGGGTTTTTACTTACTAGACTATTCAAAGTCACCATCCGGGCTTTACTTACTATCCTTCAACATAATTGTTCAGGCTTACTTACTACCCCATTCAAAGCAACTAGCCTAGGCTTAGTTGTTGCACCATTCAAAGTTGCTAGTCCAGCTTCACTTACTATCTTATTCAAGCTTACATCTTATTTAAGCTTACAAGTCTGGGCTTTGTTCAAAGTTGCCAGTCTGGCTACTCCGGGTTGACTTACTGCCTCATTCAAAGGGTTACTAGGCTATGCTTACAATCCCGTTCAAAGTTACTAGTCTCACTTTACTTACTATCCTCCAAACTTACTGGTTCAAGGCTGGTATGATGTTCAAAATTACTAGTCAGGCATTACTTACTGCTCTATTCAAAGTCACTCATCTGGCCTTACTTACTGACCTTTCAAGCTTACTGGTCTGGCTTTACTTCATGCTTGTTCAGGCTTACTTAGTGCCTGTTCAAAGCTGCTAGTCTAGCCTTACTTACTAGCCCCAAAGTTACTAGTGAGGCTTTACTTACTGTCTAGTTCAAGCTTACTAGTCCAGCCTTACTTACTACTGATAGTCAGACCACCAAGTCCTTAGCTGACCTGCCCTAAACTAGATAGAGACAACTGAACTGCACACTTGAATCAGACCAGTTGAATAACCCAGAGAAGCAATCATTGCATACAAAGCAAACACAAAGTAGCTAAAATACAACACATAAGCATCATTCTAACCCTTCCCGGACTTGGGCCAGTGCACACCAGTGCAGGTTCCCCGGAGGGAGAAACAACCAAGGTGTAAAGAAATGAAGTCAGTACAACTCTATACAGCTCCATATCTGCACAAGGGCTAGAGTTCCCCTTTCCACCCTGTCGTTCGCGACTCGACAGTGCAGAAAGAAACACTCTAGCCCCCATAATGCGCAATATAAGAGCAAAAAACACACACTGACCATCAATACACCTCCAGTAAGCACTTCTAGTAGAAAGCCTGCCAATGAACAGCTTTTAAATAGAGAAAAGCAACAAAGCAACAAGAGAAACCATGGCATAGATGCCAGGTTCCATAGTTCTCAGCATCCAAAGATGTAGAGGAACCATGGGCTGTACTCCTTCATCCCCCATCCAGTCTTCCCGCTAATGCATGGTAGGAGGACAGTAGGACACACAATGAGAGGTCTAGCTATGACATCAAAGTGATGATTCAGAGACAGAGGAAACCCAAAAGTAATCCCAGGGAACTCACCCAGAGGTGAGGTGCCTTGACCCAGAGGTCGTGAGGGTGAGAGGCGTCCCTGCTCAACCCCAGGTTACTCACTTACTAGGCAGCATATACTCAGCTTGCCCCTTTCTAAATGCCGCTTTTCGACTTTCCCCTACATAGTAGGCAAAGGCATCTGGGTGGCAGTGCACAGGCCTGTCCCACCAGAGGCGTGAAAAGTGGTGTCCACAATATCGTGTTTTTGCACAGCCACAGCCTACACACCCAAAAGTATTTGCACACCGCCTGCCCCCCAGCCCAAGATGTGTGCTGGAGTGAATTGAAATCATTGCAGAAGAAGCATACAAATTGAGTAGTACTTTTTTCAAGCCAAGACCTTTAATGGTCATGTCCCTGGATCATGATTGATGCAAAAAAGGCTAAATGCCATGCATGTACACATTGTAAAACTCATGCCCAAGCACCACTGCAGCTCTAAAAACCTACTCTGGACCTTGTCTGAGTTACCACTACTAGTGTGTGATAGTGTGGGGTGAATAGACCTGTTTTAAAGGTTTTATTCTCACTGTATCCCCCTACGAAGCCAACTAGAGTCCATGTTTCATCTTGGTAGGGAACTGTGCAGCTGTGTAACCAACTAGTAAGTGTTGAACAGAGTAGTAGCAGCTAACTGGACAGGGTTTTGATAACAGGGTAAACACTTTGAAGGAGCCAGTAAGTGCTGCCTGAAGGGGTAAGTAAGACTAGACTGGCAACATTGAATGGTGCAATAAGTAAGCCTAGATGGGTAGGTTTAAAGAATGGTAAGTAAAGCATGCTAGTGACTTTGAATAAGGTGATAAGTATAAACCTGGACTCGCAACTTTGAACAATATGGTAAGCAATCTCTAGACTAGTGACTTTGAACAGCGTAGTAAGTCAGCCCAGACTAGAACTGTTGGACTAGCAACTTGGAATGAGGTGATAATAAAACTCTGGACTAGTAAGTAAAAACCCGGACTAGTGCCTCTGAACAATGTAGTAAGTAAGGCAGGACTTGTAACTTTGAACAGGGTGGCAACTGACTAGTAGTAGCTTCAAACACAGTATCAAGTAAGCCTGGACTAGTATGTTTGAAGGGCAGTAAGTAAAGCGGGACCAGTAACACTAGTGAGTAATAACACTAGTAGGTAAGGCTAGGCTATCAAGTTTGAATGCTGTAGCAACTTTGAATGAGACAGCAAGTAAGACCTGATTAGTAACTTTGAAAGGCAGCAAGTAAACATAGCAACTTTGAACCATGTGGTAAGTACTGTCTAGGTGGGCAACTATAGCCATAGACTGCGGCAGCAGTATGTAACAATAACCACTATTAAGTAATGACTGCTCTAGTAAAGCGATAAACATGGGTGCAAGTATTACTGGACTACTGAGCTTCAACAATCTGGACTAGTAACTTCTCATATAATAGTCAGTCCAAATAGCATGGTAAGCATCTAAATACCTCTCAAGTGTTCAATAGTTGCTAGTCATATGTATACTTTAGGGTAGGGTGGATCAGTCTGGCTAGTAGATCCTACCTCGAGTAGTAAGGCTGGATTAGTAAGTTTGAATAGGGCAGTGAGTAAGGCCAGTAATAGCCCACTTCTACCAAATAAAGCTGCACTTGTACCTTTTAATAGACTGGCAACTAAGGCTAAATTAGTAGCTTTCAACATGCAACACTAGTAACTTCAAACAGGACAATATGTAAGACTGGAGTAGTGACTTTAAACACTGTAGCAACTTAGAATAGGTCAGTAGGCAAGGCCAGAGTAGCAAAGGTAATAGCAGGTGACAATAAGTACTATAGAGTGCCTATCTTAGTCCAGCATCCAAGACATTGACATAGTAAGCAACTCCAGTCTGGAGGCAATAGTAGTACTATAGAGCATAGATAATAACACTAGTAGGCAACTACACATAGGTAATAGTACTAGCAGGTAACTAGAACTACTATACAGCATAGGTACTATTAATAGTAGGCAATAACATCGGCCTTAGAGCATACAGACCAGAACTGCATAGGCCAGAGGTGGCAGTGCAAACCCAGCGGCTATTGGAACCCTAGAGAGCAACCCTAACCCCGGAGTAGGGTGATGGCAGTAAGTAAAAATCCTATGTGTGGCAAGTGGCTGTGCTAATCAGAGGTAAGCGGAATCCGAAAAATACTCCCACGACTAGCATTTTGAGGGTGTCGCGTGTCGTAGCCAGAGCCCACCCCATAAAGAACGATTCATTCGTACCTCATTAATCGTAATGCTGTTAGCTGGTGTAGCACCCAGTTCAACATACAGACCTGGCAACTCATTCAGGTTAGCCTCACAAAGCGCCTGCAACACACCGATGTTTTGGCGCTGCCGGGAAAATGAATCTACGAAATTGAACGTGTTGTTCAGCGTACCAGTATCTCGAAAGCGTCGCTCATGATGGGAGCAGATCTTGAGAGTGAAATCTCTGACTTCACAATGCTGCCTTATAGGTGGCCATCGTGAAATGTCGGTGTCTGCAGCATTAATGTCATCACCTCCAGAAACTGGCGGTGAGTTGGTACAATCAGTAGACCTCCCAGTCAGATGACTGTCAGCTGATCGCTGATACTACCAATGGGCCTTCTGGCGCGGTGCTGGCGTTGAAATTTATGCCATTGAGCAATAGGTCACGTCGGCTCGCGACCCGTTTGGCTCCCACCGCGCAGTGGGCGAAGACGTGCTGCGGGAGGTCGTGGCGGGGTGAGCGGATTCCCTGCACCGGCAGGGACCCATGACTCAAACGGGAGTAATTGCGATAAGGAGTGGTTTGCGGCGTCCCGTTTGGTGATGCATTATTCGTCATGAGACTGTCATGTCGTGTGAAAGCTTGGCTGAACCGGTCTTTAGGTGTGCTCTGGCCCTCACGCAGCGGCAGCTGGACCCATGACTCGATCGGGAGCAGTTACAACTAGGGCCAAGGTCAATGTCATCGGCAATATTGTTGCGTCGGGGGCCGCTGACAGGCCTGGTATTGGTAATTAGCAGCACTTACAAAGCTAACACATGGCTTCCAGAGAGAGCCGAATAAGGTGCTACGCGCAAGGCCGGGGACAAGCCTTTACTTTTAGTGCTGCAATTTGGCCTTGCGTGTTACATCCTCTCCCCGATGCCTTCTGTGTACCACACGCGCCTTTGGGGCCTACTCATATTCTGCCTTCGCTTCCTCAACGCAGTGTACAACCTGTACCGCCTCCTTGGAGCGAGTCAGACCTACAAGTTGGTCCGGCGGCGATCATCGGTAAGTTTTAGTCAGTGTCCTGACGCTGGATGCTCACAACTCTTGTAGCTGCGGCTTGCTGTAAACGTGGACTCACCCACGTGGCGGGATTTTTTGCAACTGGTTTCCGTCCATGCTTCCTGCCTGCCCAAATCATCATTCCATCCGCTTGAGCTGGGATGGAACGAGAATCTGAACAGATTCACTACAGTTCTCGTCCATCCCGGTTTTGGAACGCATGGCCTTTGGCTTGTTGCTAAGAAGACCTCCACCGCTCTCCCCATCTCTACGCCGAGGCCCGGGCTTTGCCTCATTCCCCCGGTCGATCTTGCAGCGCGGTCAGACAGCCTGGTGCTGGAGTGGGAGCCCCAGCAACCGTGCTGAATTGCGCCGGTCTTGCGGCTGGCGGCGGATTGCGACCTCGGCGATGGCTGGCAGTTGGAGAACGCGTCACGGCCAGCCATTGAGGCGCCGGGTGGGGAACCGTGGCAACTAGGTACGGTCCTTCGGATACTGCAGGAGACGGTGGGAGACTGGGACCTTGGTGATGGCTGGGATTCAGAGGGTGAGGATTCATGAGAGGCTGCGTCGTCAGGTAACGACAGCTGGGTATGCGAGAATTAGTTGGGTGCCGACATCAAACTCGTCGTCGTTTTGACCACGAGCTCGAGTGACCACAAGTGGTTTACCATCGTGATCGACGACGATGGGCACGACCTCAACAGAGACAAGTGCTGTAGTTTTATCCGCATGTGGGATACTCTCACGCTGCAGAAAATGCCCCGCCTATCTAGGTAGCCATGTTCTCATCGCCGTGAGCTATAGAATAAACTGATTCTGACAACGATATTGGAGTAGAATTTCATTTGCCAACAGGCATATGTTCCGTAACTACATTGACAACAACTGCCTAAAGGTTAGGGCTTGCTATGACATTCTATGCCGCATGGATGATGATCACTATGCAACTTCGAGTATTTGTATCGAGAAGGCTTTCTTAGTCCAAGATGCTGCCGCATGTGGAAAGCTAATACATTGCCGCCTACGTTCCTCACCCGTACATGGACATGTGTAGCAAAGAGAATCTTGACGATCACGAGTGCTTGGTGAGAACCGTGAGGGCTACCTCTACGCTGCGTTCACATTCAAGGCTTCGAGCAGACATATTAGTTGCTCTGACTCGATCCATATCAGTACAGAGGAGGTATTCTGTTAAATGAGTTGCGCACCTGGCTAGGGCCAGTTGCTGAAATGCTGCGCGATGGGTTGTGGAAGGTGAACGGGACGTCAGCTCCTGCAAGACGGCACTGGAACGCGTGAAGGTCATTGACAGGGCGATCCGAGATGACAATGTCGAAAGTCTTTGACACGACACCTGGGGTGCCTTGAGCGAGCGCAACGAGCCCACCGTCACCCCCTTTGAGGGGTTGGATTCTGTCGTCCTCAGTGACGTAGTTGTATTCGCCATTGAGATCGTACGCGTACGACCAAGTAAAACCGACGGTAGTGCTGGAGGTCTTGACCATTTTGGCCACCCTGATGAGGACCTCGTTTGCCGCGAGTGAGCGACAGTGCCTGGCTGATAAGACCCACTGATTGGTTGCTGGCACTTCGTCCGGCGGCAAAACAGTCGCTGGCACACCAACGCCGTACTTTGTGAATATGAGCGGTAAGTTGATGGCGTTGAACCCAATGGCGAAGATCGTAAGCCCGGAGGTTAAAAGATGGTCAATTGCGCACAACACTTGCTTTAGCAATATCCATGCTGAAGCACAGGTCTCCGTGCATAGGGATCGCCTGGCAAATCACGTGTAGGTCGAAGGACAGAAGAAGGAGGACGCGTTTTTCCCATTCAGGGGCTGCACCCGTGTTGGCGATGTAGTCACAAAAAACTTTGATCCCGCTCTGAGCCAGGTCCCCCGATCTGACCAGAACCACGGTCGTCTTGCAGGATTTGTGTTTGCTCACCCACGCGACCAGAGACGGGATGTCCGCGCACTCGACGATGAACTTTGCAGTAGCATTTTTTTCAATGAGTGTGTTTACGACCTCCAACAAGGTCATGAGCTGCTCGACAGTTAGCCAGCAGTCATGTGCCACAAAGCGCTGCAATCACCTTATC